GACATTTCTAGTATTAGACTAAGGCAAATATCTAGGAAAAGATCTTATTCTAACAACCAAAGAAACAAAGAAAATGAAACTGAAACTGCAACATCATACATAGATACTCTGGTATTTAGCCTAGATATTGATAAGATTTCAGATGTTGGTAAAACCCTACATTTTAGTAATTAATGGTCCAACATGAAGTTGGTTTCAGATGCTTAAGCTTATAGTTAGGCATATACTGTGAACCTCTATCTACTCAAAAATCTAGGGAAGTGTCCTGTTCCTGCAAAATCTCCTTAAAAAAGGCCAGAATTCTGCCCTATCAAAAACCACAAATCATTCATCAAGAGAGAGAGAGAGAGAGAGAGAGAGAGAGAGGAAGCATCCTGTGAGGTTCATAGTCATGCAAGGCTCTCTCTTCAATCCAATTTTATAGAGGGCGTTGACAAAGGGTAATAAGTGTCCCTCTAGACAGAATTAATCTAAAATAATTTATTCTATCCCCAACTAATATATCATTTTGTAGCAACCAAGCAACCAACTTCACAAAACAAAGAGAATAGCTGAAATTTATTATTATTATTCTGACAAGTTGTAAGTTTTGGCCAGTCTATTTAAGAAGATCTCCTAATGGATGCTCAGATACATGCCAGCACTTCCTTCTCCTCTCTGTCCATTCTTTACACTCAACATCTTCTCATTTCAAGTAATCTCAAGCTGTCCCTTGTTTTCTTTTTCTGTCAAAAAATCAAGTGCAGCATATATATATATATATATATATCTGTTGTGATCTTCAGTTCAGCTCAAGATCTCCTCTTGGAAGTTGAAGTGCTGATAGTTTGGCAAAGATGTGGGCTTTGTGCCTTGCAGCATTGCTTATTATAAGCATTACACATTGGGTTTATAGGTGGAGAAATCCTAGATGCCATGGCAAACTTCCACCAGGTTCAATGGGATTGCCACTACTTGGAGAGACCTTACAGTTCTTCACTCCCAACACCTCTTCTGATATTCCTCCCTTCATCAAGAAAAGAATGAAAAGGTGATATTTCTGATAATTAAACAGCTGCTTCTTCCTTGCCATCTTTTAATTCTTCTTTTTGGTTTTTGTTTTCTCATCTTCTTTACATGTGTTCTGCATTTTGGACTTTGCAGATATGGACCAATTTTCAGGACTAATTTGGTGGGAAGACCAGTTATAATATCGACAGACCCGGATCTCAATTACTTTGTCTTCCAACAAGAGGGAAATTTGTTTCAAAGTTGGTACCCAGATACCTTCACAGAGATTTTTGGCAAGCAAAATGTTGGTTCCTTGCATGGGGTTATGTACAAATATCTCAAGAACATGGTGCTGCATCTCTTTGGACCCGAAAGCCTTAAGAAGATGATCCCTGAAGTTGAACAAGCAGCTCTCAGCAGATTACAACAATGGTCATGTCAGGACATTACAGAACTAAAAGATGCAACTGCAAGTGTAATCTTCAGCCTAACCTTTCTTCTCTTTGATAAAATTTTCACTAAAAGTTAATATCTTGTTTGAAGTCTGATTAATTTGGTCTTTTCAGATGATATTTGATCTCACTGCAAAAAAACTTATCAGTTATGATTCAAATAAGTCCTCGGAGAATTTAAGGGAAAACTTTGTTGCATTCATACAAGGATTGATCTCCTTTCCTTTGGACATCCCTGGAACAGCTTATCACAAATGTTTACAGGTAATTGCACAAGTATCATTCACAACACTTGTTTCTTGCTTTCACAAGGCCAATCAAAGCGAAAAGTTCCATTTTGAAAACAATCAAGTATGTTCTCTTGTTCTTGACCTTCAACAATTTCTCAGGGTAGGAAAAACGCAATGAGAATGCTGAAGAACATGCTGCAGGAAAGACGAGCAGAGTCCCAGAAGCAACCAGTTGATTTTTTTGATTATGTTCTTGAAGAACTTAAGAAAGAGGGAACAATCCTGACAGAGGGAATTGCTTTGGACTTAATGTTTGTGCTGCTTTTTGCAAGCTTCGAAACAACTTCCCTAGCTATAACATTAGCCATGAAGTTTCTTTCAGACCATCCTCTTGTGCTAAAGCAATTAACGGTACGAAAACCTTTCAAACCATGCTATTGATTTCAACATCCTCATTGTCACCCCTCCTAACAAGTTCTTAACATTTACATCTTATGTCAGGAAGAGCATGAGATGATTATAAAGCAAAGGGAAATTGCTGATTCTGGACTTACATGGAAAGAATACAAGTCAATGACATTCACATTTCAGGTGAGTCTCACTCTTTACACTTTCACTGCTTAAAAGCAAAATGTTGACCCAAAATAAAAAGATGCAAAATATACAAAATCATTCTGTTCATACCTCTGTTGAACAAAGTAAAAAACTGATAAATTTTGACTTGCAGTTCATCAACGAAACGGTTAGGCTGGCAAATATAGTTCCCGGTATCTTTCGCAAAGCAGTGAGAGAAATAAACTTTAAGGGTAAGTAGAAATGACTCATAGTATTGTTTTCAACTATAAAATAAGTTTCAACTATGAACATCATCCTAATTGGACTTGTAATACCAATTTTGTTGTGCAGGATATACCATTCCAGCAGGTTGGGCAGTAATGGTTTGTCCCCCAGCAGTACATTTAAACCCAGCAAAATATGAAGACCCTGTGGCCTTCAATCCAAGGAGATGGGAGGTGAGTTTCAATATTATATCAGACAATGCATTTTTCTAGCTTACCTACAAGCTGCTAAGTTCCATAAAACTAATTGATCTTGGCTTGAAAATCTCCTAACCCTTTGTCCTTACACCTCAGTTGTTTGTACTAAAAAGGAATTTTCAATGCAGGGAGTAGAAGTAAGCAGTGCATCAAAACATTTCATGGCTTTTGGTGGTGGCATGAGATTCTGTGTTGGGACAGATTTTACTAAGGTGCAGATGGCTGTGTTTCTTCATTGCTTAGTTACAAAGTACAGGTAAGAAAGCCCAGAAATCAAAGAGAGAGAATGGGAAAGAGAGAGGCAAGGAGACAGAGAGGGAGAGACTAATAACATTCTTTTGCATCCAAATTTTTTCAGGTGGGAAGCAATCAAAGGAGGAGACATAGTTCGAACTCCGGGTTTGCAATTTCCAAATGGTTTTCATGTTAAGATCATGGAGAAGGATACAAGGAACAGAAAACAGCATTATATAGCTGCTGATGCTTAAACCAGAAATGTTAGTAGGCAAGTCATTTGTATGGCTAGAGAGAGAGAGAGAGAGAGAGAGAGGCACAGGAGATTTTTTCCAGCTTGACATATTTTGCACCAGGATTTTTATTTCTCTCAAGCTGCGAAGAGGATGACAGATCACGAACATCACATTTGGAATATGTACAGAGAAGAAAAGCAATTATATCATGGTCTCTCCACAAACAAAGACCAACCCATTTTTTTGTTTGGGGTCACATACAAAGTTTTATGCTTCTACACCAATTTTCTTCCTCCCTTTTTTTTTTGGAACAATGTTTAGTTGTGTAGGGGTGGAAGTAGAAAAGAGAAAAAAGAACAGTTCAAAGACAAATGTAGAATCCAACATATAATACATTTTATCAAAATGAGGATATACTTGTAACATTCTGTGTGAAAATGCATCTCATCATCATCATCACCTTTTTCTTCTTCTTTATTTTTATTTTATAATTTAAATAAAAACTAGACCCAAGTATACCAAAAGAGAATAGTTCTACCATTTATAATTCTTACCAAATTCTTACTTTGTGCCTGGCTTTATGTCCATGGGGGACATTGTGAAGATAATAATAAAATATTATTGTTTATATGCCTACGTTGTTTGGGCCGCTCAACCCAAATTTGTACAATTTGGGCTAATTTTTCTTGTTGTGGGCTATGGGCTTCTCAGCCTAAATATGTGAATTTTTTATGGTCGTTTAGGATGTGGTCCCTCTTGTAGAATTCTACGGGTGAGGGTCTTGTTTAAGATCCTTAGATGAGGCCCTATTTCTTAACTGTTGGATCAAATTAGTTAGTCGTTATATCAAATTGATTAGTTTGATCCAACGATTAAAAGATAGGACCTCATTTAAGGGCCTAAAATGACTCCCCTTGCAAGACCAATGTTTAGACAAAAACTTTATATGGTTTTGTCACAATCACATAACATTGGTGCATCAACTATGAACTATTGCCTTGTGAAAGAAAAGGAAAAACATAAATATTCTAAATATTTTAACATTTCAGCCACTCTAGCTATAATGCATAATATATATACTAATTTTTCGATCCGCACTCACGAGAATATCATGTATTTTTTTTTAAAAAAATTCTTATCTATATAAATTTTTGTTGGACATAAAAATAGTTCTTAATGATGACAATTTTGAGTTACTTGGAAATTTAACCATAGTCTCTAGAAGATAAAACTTATGATCCCATTTTGATAATACTAATTTTTTGTGTGTGGGTATTTTCATCAATACTTCATGTATTTTAGAAAACTTGTAACAAACCAAAGCTTTCAAACTACTACTTGAGCATTTGTTTTTCTTCTTTATTATCTCGGGGTATTTCAGCTCTTTAGCTAACTTTCTTGGTCCTTTCTATAAGTTTGAAATTCCAAAAATAAAAAAATAATTTTATTTGAAAAATATGATGATCTTGTGGCCTTCAATCCATGGAGATGGGATTTTGTTGTAGCTAATATTGGCAAGCAAAGCCTCTTTACCATTTTATTCTCAGTCCTAAGCTGCACTGAAGGCTAAACCAAACCCAACAAGGAAAGGGAATGAAACATTTCCTGATTAAAAAGGGTATTAGCAATGTATCCTTTTTCCTAACCCCAAACGGATATAATAAAAATCCTTAACATCTAAACCAAACCCAACAAGGAAAAGCAAGTTTCCTAATTGAAAAAGGATGTTTCCAAATCCTAAACTGATATGCTACAAAAACCTTATAAATACCCACACATTCTTGCACTACTTGGCAATTTCATTCCAAGCAGCATCAAGCACAAAAACCCATCTCTCCGTTTCTCCCCAACAACTAGAATTCATCATTTGATTGTTCTGTAGTTTGATTTTCTTCTATTAATTTCAACATTAACAATGGAGGAAGAAAATGAGCTCTCAGCACTCCTCGCCCTAAACCCTGGTCGTGCTAGTAGCAGTGCAAATCCTTGTCCACTACCAGGCCAAGTTTCCACCGCCATCACTTTGTGTGATCCAACTTGGACTTACAACACAAACCAGAGAAAAGCAGAGGAATTCGACCCTGCTCCTTTCAGATTTTCCGCATTCCCTCCTAATCCGAAACACGAGAAAATATCAAGTACGAATAATATGAACAAGGAATTAAAGAAGAAGAAAAGAAACCAAGTAGTGCCGGAAACTACGCTGAGTCCACAGCCTCAGGATCACGGGCCTTGGAAAATCAGGAAGAAGCTGACAGTAAGCGACCTTAGAAGCTGCTCAAGGCTACTAATGCCGAAAAAACAGGTCATCGACCATGTTTTGCATTACTTGGATGACACGTTTGCTGAAAGAGTTAAGAGTGGAGAGGGCATAGAAGTTATAGTTGAAGACTGCGATACAAACACCAGGCATCACTTGACTTTCAAGCTTTGGGGGTCGGCCGAGTGTTACATTCTCAATGGAGATTGGAGACTAGAGTTTGTGCATAGGAGAGGCTTGGAGGAGAAGGATAAAATTGGGCTTTATTGGGATACCTCCAAATCCATGTTCATGTTTTCTGTTCTTGAAAGGGCAAGGCAATCCCAGTTACCTGCTTGATCAATTTAGTGTGTCTAGATTGTTGAGTTTGATTGAGATTTCATGATTAATTTCCTGAATTTGCAATTGTGATCAGAATTGTAACTAGCTAGATAGTTTAGTTACCTTATTAATTCCTCAGTTTGACACATTTGTTGTAATAGACTTGTTTAAGTACAAGTGATTGTCTAAGCTACTGTATAAGGGCACAAGCACACTACCTCGTGCAACTTGTTTAAACCAAGTATGCTTATTGTAATAGATTTGGTTTCACAACGTTTAAGTTGTTTTAGTTTGGTTATTCTATGAATCAAAAGCAGTAATGTTCTTCCTCACTCACTCTATTTACATTTTCCCATCTCTGTTTTTTTTCCTTCATACTTTTACTTCCTGTTATGAGTTTTGGTTACACATATAACACAAATGTTAGCAAGAAATTACTTCATTCAGATAATACTTTCACCCTGTTTATGATAATTGCCTTTTTTTTTTTTTTTTCCCGGATGGCTTCCACATTCAGATACTCGTTCAAACCACTATTATGAAATGTATTGTCCTGACCCGATTCGAAAATAAAGAATATTCCCGAATCATGGTGTGAGTCATACCATAGTCATAAGAATAAAATCCTACAACCATGATATTATGAGAAAATAGAGCCACAATTAATACAAACAATAAGGAATATTCCCGAATCATGGTGTGAGTCATACCATAGTCATAAGAATAAAATCCTACAACCATGATATGATGAGAAAATAGAGCCACAATTAATACAAATTTACTTAACAACACAAAATCAGAGTCGCAGTAGCTCGTAGTTAAATACACACTAAGATTTTTATTAAACGGTTGACTACTTACAAATATTAATTATAAAAAAAAATTAACAACAAAAGCCTAGTAGCTTGGTTGAAACCCGTTTCCTCAAACTTTGCCTTGAATCTTGAACAATCTATTAGGGTATGAGCATTCTAATGCTCAGTAGAGTACCGTCAAACCCCTCAAGGTCGACTATCATAGTTAATCAAAGTGTCATGCATCAAACAACACAAAATACAGAAATTATGCAACCGTACCAGATAAATAAATTTGCATATGCAGTGATGCCATGAACTCACTCCCTTCTAATTCCACTAATTCATACCTTAGGGCAACAAGCCTGCATATCTCATACCATGCGTTTTACCACTGTGGCACCGAATACCCTAAAATATGAACTAGTGCCCATCCGTCCCTTAACCCATCTTTCTTTTGTTTACGAATTTCTCAACTTTCACTTTTCATTAGAGGCCCTACTCCCATCACCTCAATATATTGAAGCCCTGCTCCCGTCACCTGAATATATTCCGCATTTTTATTTACTCAGATATATCTAAGGCCTTCTCCCACCCCTTAAATACACCTCAAACGACACACACACACCCCAAACACCACTGTCTTTATGATGCATATGTAATGCAACGCAAACATCATTTATCTCTGTTGAATAATAACACAGATAATAACAATAATATTTCAGATTTAAGCACATGAATAATAATATTCACCCAATGTCAAATTATATCCACATAAACATTTTTATTTACTCAGATATAACTAAGGCCTTCTCCCACCCCTTAAATATACCTCAAACGACACACACACACCCCAAACACCACTGTCTTTATGATGCATATGTAATGCAGCGCAAACATCATTTATCTTTGCTGAATAATAACACAGATAATAACAATAATATTTCAGATTTAAGCACATAAATAATAATATTCACCCAATGTCAAATTATATCCACATAGAAAACATCAATAATAATATTCACCGAGCAACACAACAATAATATTCATATTTATAGTACTATATATAAGCACCAAGATTAAAAGTGACATAGCCCAATTATTGGGAAATCAGGAAACCCTACCTCACGTCCAGCTAGCTTAACATTGTGCGGGTTCGTCCTCGAAAGTACACAGAATAGAACACCTAGTTAAGATAATTTATTGATTAAAATTCACTGGAAATAAGGAAACAAGTTTGAGTCTCCTACTAGCGCACATAGACTTAAAACCCCATAACACACTCGATAAGTTGTTCGACCCGATTGTTACTCCCTTAACCTCACATCCAAGCAAGCATAGAACCAAGTAGGGACGAACCCAGGATTTCAAAATGGCGTGGGCTAAATTTACCTTACGTACAAACCTATTGAAAACTCAACGGTACGAGTAAATTTAAGGGGGTTTCACTAAAACACCCAAAATGGGGGCTGAAATTATAAAAAAACCCAACACCCAAAACACTTTATAAACACACCCAAAACCCATCATTACACACACTCAAAACTCATTTATAAACACACCCAAAAAATATACAATTGTTGATTTTGGGTGTGTTTCTATGTTTCAGGGACGGACCCAGGATTTCAAAATGGCATGGGCTAAATTTACCTTACGTACAAACATATTGAAAACTCAACGGTACAAGTAAATTTCATTGATAACAAAAAAATATATGGGGGGGACATAATGAGCCTTACCCCTTAAATAGCACTTATATAAGTTGCACCCTTCGAGTCTTCACAGCATTAAAATCACCAATTATTGATTCATTATCTATATTATCAGCTAATTCTCTTTCAATATGAAGTAGCATACAATCAGCAAGAAACTCATCACCTATCTTATTCCGAAGTCGATTTTTAATAAGTCTCATACATGAAAATGCTCGTTCTGTTGTTGCTGTAGACACAGGAAGAGTTAGCACCAAACGAATCAATCTGTCAATCAAGTAGTATGTTTCTGCTAATTTTGTCTCAATTAAGCGCTCAAGTAATATAGGGATGGAATCAATATTCTTGAAGGCTTGAATGCGATCCATATCAATCTTATAAAATCCCAATTGCTGATTTAAAGCATGCAACTCAGTTGTAGTGAAATCTAAAGGGTAAAATTTCTTAGCAAGAGTGCATATATCATCAATGTTAAATCGCTTGAAAGCATCACGAGGATCTAATGCTGAGTTAAGAGAAAGGAGTTCCATAGTCCCATCTGGAAATCTAGTATTGAACTCCCCCAACTGATAATCTATTACCTTATTGAATGTATCAATATGATAATAATGCTCAACTGTGATACAATCTCTTTGTTGACAAGAACGACGAGTGCCTATTGTATGACGGGCACCCATATCAGGCATATTAATATCATGTTCTTCACAAAATGATTGCACACTCTGTATAAAATCATTCCAACCATTATTTCTCAACTCATCAAGCTCCATTTTTGTACTTGCAACCAAATTCAAAGCCTTTACAATGTCTTGAGATTTTCTTTGAAGTTCTTGACAAAGAAAATCAGTGAATCTCATAGTTTTGTCCAACAATTTCAAGGCAAAAACAAAGTCAAAAGATAACATAGATATTTTAATACCTTCTGCTTCGCCACGAAATTGTGAGGTAGGTCCATTATGACTGATATCCGTTAGAAGTGTCTTGGTTGCACCAAATAAATCAATCAAACTCCTAATAGAATTAAAATGTGACCCCCAACGAGTACCCTGGGGTTCCGGGCCGAGGGGATATGCGTTAACACATGGCTTCCTTCTTTTGGATGCGGTGCGGTTATGTGTGGGCGTGCCAGCACAGTCTACCGTGCGTCGAGATGCGGTTTGGATAAAATGGTCTACTGGTGCGCCTGTTTGAATTCGACTTCTAATCGAACGATTGTGGGTTTGGCAGAAGCACCAACAAAATTCACAATGTTATTCAACATTGAAAAAAATCTCCAAACGAGTCCTACCTCTTTAGCTGCACCATTTAAAGCTAATTGAAGACGATGAGCAAAGCAGTGTATATAATATGCATATGGACAATCTTTGAGAAATAATGCTTGTAAGCCACTCCATTCACCACGCATATTGCTAGCACCATCATATCCTTGACCACGCATATTGCTCACTAAAAGATTATGCTTGCCAAGAACTTTACAAATATCACTTTTAAGAGTTGGGGAGTTAGTATCATGAACACTCACAATATCAAAAAACCTTTCTTGAATATGCCCATCACAACCAACAAACCTTATGATAATAGCCATTTGTTCCTTCTTAGAGTCGTCTAGTGCTTCATCAACAAGAATACAAAATTTCCCATCTTCCCCAATTTCATCGCGTATCCTTTTTCTCACTTTGGTAGAATAGATACTTAGGATCTCCTTTTGTATCTTATTTGAAATATATTGGGCATTCAAGGGAGCACTTTGTAACACAACTTTTTCAATGTTTACATTCATTCTTGCAAAAGCCTTCACCAACTCAATGAAATTGCCTCGATTAAAGGAGTCATAAGATTCATCATCACCTCTAAAAGCCATTCCTTGATTTGCTAAATACCTAATCGCCTCTATTGTGGTTGTAAGCCTCAATCGGTTTTTTGCAACTTCTTGTGGGGTTTGCACTACTCTGTCAATATGGTGAGACGGGTTTTTTAAATCCATCCACTTTTGCATAGCAAAATGATGTGGTGAATTTATATTGCCTATATGAATAAGGAAAACACACTCTTTTCCACCAACTCTTCTCCAACTTCTAAATCCCTCTACAGTGAATGCCTTATGTAAGTGATCAATGTCAAAAAGAAAGCATGGAAAGCAAAACACTTTGTCTTTATGAACACTATACTCAAGCCAATGGTATTGCTTATACCAACTACCAACAAATCGACGCTTTTGTTTCCCTTCTAAGTGTGATGGAAATTCCTTTAATTGTGGTTGACATGGTCCTAAGAGAATATATGCTCTTCGAACATTATCACGTTCATTAGGTGGATATGTGTCTATTTGAGGACGTAATCCGGGATCACGCTCGAGAGAATTGGTATTAACTTCTTGATGAGACTCGACTCTTACGTTTTCATCTTCAATTCTTTGAGGTTGAGAAGGAGGTTGCTCCTCACATATTGGAGGAGACAGAGAAGGACCCGAAGGCATGCTAGTTGATGATTCATCATTGTTTCTCTTAAAAAAATCTTGAATAGTCCTTGATCTCTTAACATTACGATGTTGACCCGACATTATAAAGTATAACCTATTGAATAATATATAGAAGATGTAAACATATAGACCAACAAAAATTTCAATAAAAACATTACATACTTAAATAGTTAAATATCTAATTAAAATCCCCAATTGACAATTCATACAAGCAAGCAAGAACACCAAGATCAAAAAAACTAATTGATAAACCTTAATTGTAAATCCCTAATTGATACTTCATAAACCCTAAATAATCCCCAAAATTTCAAAAGAAAAGAAGAAGAAGAAGAATGGAAAATTACCTTAGTTTGCTTTAATTAAGTCCGAGGAGAGAGGGAATGTGTGTGAGAGTCTAATGTTTTTGAGTGCTGCTATTTCCACCACCCTGTCCTATTTTCTCACCCACCTTATTTTCCCACCCACCATGTAAATTTGAAGAAATACAATCCTATTTTTCCACCCCCTATTATTCCTAAAATACCCTTTACAAAATTAAATGAAAAAAAAGTTAATTAAACTCTCTTCTCCAAGTCACCCCCAACCTCTTCCTCTCCTCTGCCATCACCACCATCCCAACCCATCTGTAAAACCCATAAATTTGTTTTCTCCTAATAGAATTTTGCTTTAACATTATCTGCCCAAATTAATTCCCTATTAATTTACATAAATTTCAAATGAAGCCTGCACATGGATAACTCACCCAACATCCCTACCCTGCGATATTCCAATTTTTACTTCTTCTGTAGTTTCAAAAGAGCGCTTCCTTTTTTTTATGATACTGCAACAGCATAAAAAATTTCAGTACCACATGTTTGGCAAACTCGTGCAAAATAACAAGCAACTGGAAAAAAAAAATACAAGTGTTTCAAAGAGTGAACGTTATACATTTTACTTGCCTAGATAAAACTGACCAAGTTTGCATTAAAGACGAACAGCAAACGGTGTCGATTAAGCAAACAGAAGATGAAGAGTCTAAGGAAATGATAAAAGAAGCGTCACAAACAGAAGAATTTATTTCAGTCCTTAAAAGTCATTTTACATAAGGATAAATTTGCCTTTAAAATTTTGAAGATAAGGTGGGTGGGGAAATAAGACAGGGGGTGGAAATAGCAGCACTCATGTTTTTTCACGTAGGGTGTGGGGTTTAGTTCTTTTTATTTATTTGTTGGCTTGGTCAGCCTAGTCCAAGTGGAATTAGTAATATTTTATTTGGGTGGGCAGCCTTATCCTAATGGGAATAGTTAATAATATTTATTTAGATTACCTAGGCTAGAGTATTAATTTAGCTTAAAAAAAAACAAGTTACCTGGGCTTTAGCCCAGGTTAGCGTGCTAGTGGGTACGTCCCTGGAACCAAGCGTAAGGAAAAACTAATCTATTCCCCTCCTATAATAGTTCTATTATTTGAGATGTTTAAAATCAGGTTGTTCGGCCTTAATTGTAAATCCCTAATTGATACTTCATAAACCCTAAATAATCCCCAAAATTTCAAAAGAAAAGAAGAAGAAGAAGAATGGAAAATTACCTTAGTTTGCTTTAATTAAGTCCGAGGAGAGAGGGAATGTCTGTGAGAGTCTAATGTTTTTTCACGTAGGGTGTGGGGTTTAGTTCTTTTTATTTATTTGTTGGCTTGGTCAGCCTAGTCCTAGTGGAATTAGTAATATTTTATTTGGGTGGGCAGCCTTATCCTAATGGGAATAGTTAATAATATTTATTTAGATTACCTAGGCTAGATTATTAATTTAGCTTTTAAAAAAAACAAGTTACCTAGGCTTTAGCCTAGGTTAGCGTGCTAGTGGGTACGTCCCTGGAACCAAGCGTCAAGGAAAAACTAATCTATTCCCCTCCTATAATAATTCTACTCTTTGAGATGTTTAAAATCAGGTGGTTCGACTCTAGACTCATAAAGAAAATTTAAAACAAAAACTTCAGTTTTGCTAACCATTTGGGTTGGAACACGTTAACTTTGAAAATTCACTAAATATTGAGTTTAAATCAAAATAATGTAAAACTTTTCAGATAACAACTAGACATAGAAACATTAAAAATGTCAAAATTTGATAAAAATTAGGGTTAAGGAAGCATGTCAAAATAGAAACCAAAACAGACTAGGTTGCATAACGTTCCTTTTTTTCCAGGTTTGTACACTTTATTTTGAAAAATCACCAAAATTACAATTTACAACCAAATTGGATAAAACCTTCCAGATTTGAAGAAAATACGAGAAAGTAAAACATACTAAAATTTCATGAAAATCCAAGTTCAGGAAGTTTTCAAACACGTATTCAAAACAGGGCATGCAGTAGAATCAGAACAATTTCCACTCTAAACGTTCCCAAGGTGGCTATAGAAGTCCGATCAACCTAAACTTTTGATATGTTATAATAGACAGCATTTCAAACAACTTTGATGAAGGAACCAAAGTCATTTGAGTACAGGAAATCACAGAAATATATTGAAACCGAGCATACTATTGTGAAATCAGGAAATGGTAAACTTATTGTGATCATACCAATGGTTAGGAGTCTGTACTGGTCGGATTGAGGTGAAATTTTAGTATGTTATAGGAATCACGTAAATGAACAACTTTTATGAAGAAAGTTTTCTCATTTGAGCTTCCGAAATTTGAGTTCTCGGCTGCTCCAAGGAAGTGACGAATTTTTGGATTTTGAAGAGGAACAAAAGAAGAATAAGGATGAAAATATTGTGAATGAGGAAGAGAGTGATGATACAATGAATGATGAGGATAAGAATAAATTCATGATTGAAGAGTCTTAGGCTAGGTGAGTCATCAAGTTAGAAGAGAGTGATGATACAATGAATGGGGAGGAAGAGAATAAGAAAAAATCTTAGACTAGGTGACTCATCACTTTAGACTAGGTGACTCACCTCCAATAGATGAACAACTCATCCCAATTTGGGATAAAAATCAGATTTTTTGAAAAGAAAATAAGAGGGAAAGGGGGAAGAATGGGAGGATGATGGTTTGATGCCCTCCACGTTTCATTTTTTTCTTTGCCTACAAGGGTATTTTGGTAATTCTCGGCTGCTCCAAGGAAGTGACGAATTTTGGATTTTGAAGAGGAACAAAAGAAGAATAAGGATGAAAATATTGTGAATGAGGAAGAGAGTGATGATACAATGAATGATGAGGATAAGAATAAATTCATGATTGAAGAGTCTTAGGCTAGGTGAGTCATCAAGTTAGAAGAGAGTGATGATACAATGAATGAGGAGGAAGAGAATAAGAAAAAATCTTAGACTAGGTGACTCACCTCCAATAGATGAACAACTCATCCCAATTTGGGATAAAAATCAGATTTTTTGAAAAGAAAATAAGAGGGAAAGGGGGAAGAATGGGAGGATGATGGTTTGATGCCCTCCACGTTTCATTTTTTTCTTTGCCTACAAGGGTATTTTGGTAACTATCCACACATAGGGGTATTTTGGTCATGTTTGTCCAACTTGAAATTAAACACACTTAATTTAATAATCTCAATCCAAAATCACTTGATAAAAATATCATAATCATTCTCCACCATTATATTATTTTTCACTAAAATATGAAAATCCACCTTGAATTTTTTAGGGTATTACATGTATTATGCAATTTAATAAAACAAAAAATAAATAAATATGGGCATACAAAGTTTCATGCTCAATCTTTAATTATCTCCATGTAAAGGTGGAAGCAGAAAAAAGCGTACATGTTAAAGGAATGCATAAAATATCCAACATGTTAAACAATGTAAAGTCCCACATCGCAAATTTGACAAAAATATATAATGAGTGGTTCCACTACTTTACTAGGCTTAAAATTTTGTGTGAAAATGTTTCAGCATCATCTTTCAATTTTTTATTTAAAATGTTGCAAGCTAAGTATTCCACTAACATCAAAGAAATGGAAAGATCTTTACATTTAGAATGTGTTGTAAATGAGCACAACGTTTCTCAGAAGAGATTGGAGAATATGGCAGAATAGTTTTCTCCTTACTTGGGTAAAAAAGTTAACTATACTAATTAGTCAGCTAAATAGGATCTAGATCAAAAGAAGTTTCACATAAAGTCTATAATGCTATAAATAAGCCACTAACATTAGTCAGCTAACATTTCCTTCTCAATGGTAAATAGATAACAAGAACAGTTCTTTTGTGCCTATGCTACGAGTTTGAGGCATAAACAAAACAAATTTAAGCCATGATGTGACATTAGTTTGGTCTGGCCTGTCTATTTAACCTCTTCTCGTCTTGTAACATAATATTCAGTAAAAGATCTCCTCCGAAACTTAGACTGACACTTTGTTAAAAATGTGGGCTCTGTGCATGGCAGCATTAGCTATTATAAGCATCACACATTGGGTTTACAGGTGGAGAAATCCCAAATGCCACGGCAAGCTTCCACCGGGATCAATGGGATTGCCACTGCTAGGCGAGACCATACAGTTCTTCACTGCCAACACCTCTTCTGATATTCCTCCTTTCATCAAAAAAAGGATGGAAAAGTGAAGTTTCTGATACTATATATAACAGCTACTTCTTTGTCAATTTTTCAAGCATACTTGTTTTTAATATTCCTTACTAGTATCCTGCATTTTTGGACTTTGCAGATACGGACCAATATTCAGGACTAATTTGGTGGGAAGCCCGATTATTTTTTCGACAGACCCGGATCTGAATTACTTTGTGTTCCAACAAGAGGGAAACTTGTTTCAAAGTTGGTACCCAGATACCTTTATAGAGATTTTTGGCAGGCAAAATGTTAGTAACATGCATGGGGTCATGTACAAATACCTCAAAAACATGGCGCTGCATCTCGTTGGACCTGAAAGCCTTAAAAATATGATCCCTGAAGTTGAACAAGCAGCTCTCAGCAAATTACAACAATGGTCATGTCAGGACACTACAGAATTAAAAGATGCAACTGCAAGTGTAATTTTCAGCCTCACCTTTTCTTCTCTTTAACAAAATATCACTAAAAATTGATATCTTGTTTGAAGTCTGATTAATTTGGTCTTTGCAGATGATATTTGATCTCACTGCAAAGAAACTTATCAGCTATGATTCGAGTAAGTCCTCGGAGAATTTAAGGGACAACTTTGTTGCATTCATACAAGGATTGATCTCCTTTCCTTTGGACATCCCTGGAACAGCTTATCACAAATGTTTGCAGGTAAATGTAAATCAACACTTGTCTCTTTCTTTCACAAGGTCATATTTCTCCATGGATAGGCAAAAGCTCAAAGAGGCATTGAATTAGATCCTCAAAGCTGACTTTAAAACTACAAAGTTCTGAGAATGTAGTCTCTCCTCTTGGTCTCAATCACTTTCAAATTTTTATGCAGGGAAGGAAAAGGGCGATAGGAATGCTGAAAGACATGCTACAGGAAAGACGAGGAAAGTCCCGAGATCAGCCAAACGACTTTTTCGATTACGTGATTGAAGAACTTAAGAAAGAGGGAACAATCTTGACAGAGGAGATTTCTCTGGACTTAATGTTTGCGCTGCTTTTTGCGAGCTTTGAAACAACTTCAATTGCTATGACTTTAGCCATCAAGTTTCTATCAGACCATCCTCTGGCGCTAAAGCAATTAATGGTCTGAACTCTCAAAGTGTTACCAAACAGTTTATAATATATATATAACCTTATAAACATTTTCTATCTTATGCCAGGAAGAGCACGAAATGATTCTAAAACAAAGGAAAAATGCTGATTCAGGACTTACATGGAAAGAATATAAATCAATGACATTCACATTTCAGGTGAATCTTGACATTTTCATTTTCAGTTCTTGAAAGGAAATCCACTCTATTCAGAGCTCTGTTTTACAAACTGAAATTTTCAACTTGCAGTTCATCAACGAAACGGTTAGACTGGCAAACATTGCTCCATGCATCTTTCGAAAAGCGCTAAGGGAAATCAATTTCAAGGGTATGTAGGAATGACATAGAGTATTGTTTTCCTGTTATAGGAAATCATTCTAATTTGACATATTATTACCATTTGGTGTGGGTCTAGGATATACCATTCCAGCAGGTTGGGGAGTTATGGTTAGTACCACAACGGTACACTTAAACCCAGAAAAATATGACGATCCTGTGGCCTTCAATCCATGGAGATGGGAGGTAGGTTGAATATCTGAGAATGTATTGTTCTAGCTAATCCACCATTTATTCTCAGTCCAAAACTGCAATGAAAGATGGTTTGATTAATTTAAAGGGAATGGAAACAAATAGCGCATCCAAAGATTTCATGGCTTTTGGCGGCGGACAGAGACTCTGCGTAGGAGCAGACTTTGCTAAAGTGGAGATGGCTGTGTTTCTCCATTGCTTAGTCACAAAGTACAGGTAAGAAAGAACTAATGTCCTGTAATCACAGAGAGAGAGAGAGAGAGAGAGAGAGAGAGAGAGAGAGAGAGAGAGTAACATGTTCACATCCAAAATTTTCAGGTGGGAAGCAATCAGAGGAGGAAATATAGTCCGAACTCCTGGGCTACAATTTCCGGAAGGTTTCCACATTCGTATCCTGGAGAAAGATACAAGTAACAGGAAACAGCCTATAACTCCTGATACTTGAACCAGAAATGTCTGAGAGGGTAGAGCCACCATATGTGCTTTTAGATTGTGAAGCATGGACCATTGAGCTCGCCATTCCCTCAGTTTAAATATTTTCTAAAATAAGAAGCAATTTTCATGGTTAGATTGGTTAGGATTCGGAATTCCTCTGAATGTTCCGGGTTCAGACCACTATTATGAAATGTACTCTGTAATACAATAAAGCCAAAGAAAAAAGATTGGCATGCTTCTACCTAGATCTTTCTCAATGTTTAATGATCTCCATGTAAAGGTGGAAGCAGAAAAGAGAATCGGTTAAAGGAATACAAAAGATATCTAACATTTAAAACTTTGGGCTACTTTATCATTTGTCTGAACCATGTCTCATCTTACCTGCACAAACATATTTTGCAGCTTGATCAGTTGCTGGGTAAAGTTTGAAGGCTCGAGTTGTCGTTTCTTTTGGCTTCATAATAAGGAATTGTTCCTGAAAAACAGTATCATTTGTTAAAATATAGTCATCATGTTCAAAACTCAATACATGAGCAGTAGGGAAGAAAGTACCTAGATCTTTCTCAATGTTTAATGATCTCCATGTAAAGGTGGAAGCAGAAAAGAGAATCGGTTAAAGGAATACAAAAGATATCTAACATTTAAAACTTTGGGCTACTTTATCATTTGTCTGACTGAACCATGTCTCATCTTACCTGCACAAACATATTTTGCAGCTTGATCAGTTGCTGGGTAAAGTTTGAAGGCTCGAGTTGTTGTTTCTTTTGGCTTCATAATAAGGAATTGTTCCTGAAAAACAGTATCATTTGTTAAAATATAATCATCATGTTCAAAACTCAATACATGAGCAGTAGGGAAGAAAGTACCTCCATGAGGGTGACATCACTAGGGCAATCAAACTGCAATACGGGAAAATTCATCACATCTGAAACTACAAATTGCAACAGCCATTCACTGAAGTTGTAGACAAAAATACTTCATGTGCAATAATCACAATCAAATTTAAGCATTAACCCTGTCTCTAAGTTCATTTGCAGCTTCAATAACAATACAAACTGTCACAACATCTATAGTGAATAGACCAACAGTTTTCCATTTTATAAAAAGAGCATGTTAACTCTAGGATCTTAAGTTGGACCAAATCGACTGCTCTGCCCTTTCTCCAAACCTGTGCATAAAGACACCCAGCTTAGTTGACACGCACCTTAACAAGAACCATCAAAGAACTAGTACCTATCAAGAATCAAGATAGTAAAGTGATAGCCCCCTTTGCCCAAGATCTGATAATAACTCTAGCTATTAGTCAACACTATGCAACTTACTTAATTCAGCAATTCATATCCCAAAAACCACCCCAAAAAAAAAAGCATTTATCAAGAACTACAACTAGACTTACATGCCTGTTGGCGAGGATCCAACTCAATTGCCTTATCAAATTCTGCTACATACCCTGAAACATCACCCTTAACAAATAACAAAGTTGTAAACTTTTAAAGCCAAACTATAAGAACATGTCAAATGTGCAGAGAAATTTAGAAAACAGCATTGAATGTAACAAGGAGCAGATTTTACCTGCCTAAAGAGTACCATTCCACGTCGAATTGCGGCAATGGCTTCGCGGGCATTGTTACCACTAGTTAAGGCATCCCAGATGCCAGAAACTGAAGGGAGCGGTGGCTAGTTTCTGTAGTTGTGAATTGTTGAAGTAATTGTGCCAAAGAAGAGGGAGCTGTTCCGGGTTTTGAATAAAACTGAAGGGGAGGCTAGGAATGGTGTCATATACGGTTTTTCTATTTAATTTTTTTCAATAAATAGTACCGCCGCGCGGCTATACTATTTAAACAAAAACAATTAAAAAAACACGAGTTTAGCCGAACGGCTATACTATTATCGAAAACAAAAGGGGGGCCCAAGTGTCAAAATGGGTATCGCCGGGCGGCTATACTATTTTTTGGGAAATAAAATACCATCGTAACGCCGCGCAGCTATACTTTTTAAAATAAAATATTTTTAAAAACCCCGTATAGCCACACTGCCATACTATTTATAGAAAAAAGGGACCCACCTAGTGCCTAGGTACCCACGTGTCAAAATACATATAGCCGAGCGGCTATACTATTTGTTTAATAATAAAACAATATCCGGGTATAGCCAGGCGGCTATACTATTTATAGAAAAAAAGGGACCCGCCTAGGAGGCACCCACGTGTAAAAATCAGTATATTTGATAAATTACCGTAGTAAAGCCGCTCGGCTATACGATTTATAGAGAAAAAAAAGGACCGCCTAGTGTTATGTGGCCACGTGTCAAAATAAGTATAGCCGCGCGGCTATACTATTTAAAAAATAAATTACCGTTGTAAAGCCGAGCGGCTGTAAAAAATAAAAACCCGGGTATAGCCGTGCAGCTATACTATACTGGGGCCATTACCTAAGAGTAGTTTAGAGCATTGTCCATTACTACTACTAGGCCATTACCTAAGTCTCTATTATCCCTTTTTGATTTTTTACGTTCCTAGAGTTATTACCCGTATAAAGAATTTAGCATTTTCTCGTTTAATATTCGTATTATACACATACGTACATATTTTTCAATAATACTTCCATTTTCCTTACACGTCTTAAAGGCTGGGTAAAATACACGTTTAAAAAAAAAAAAAAAAACTTACAATACACGTATTGTACACGTACATACGTATTTTTCATGTTTAATACACGTGTCTTCTACAAAATTGTTAACCCCACCTGCCTCCTTACTTGAATATAGATATCAAATACACGCCTTCCTAGACTTTGCGAAGTTTGTGTATTGCGGCAAGCAAAAACCGTTTCTGCAAATTGCAATGTTACAGTATAAGGTCCATTCTGAAGACCCAGGCCGTAGTATCTCAGTGAACCTGGGGACACTCTTGAAGTCTCGAAAAGCTCTGGTGTCAAATCTGCACCGGAGACTTGCGTAAGGGTGGCTTCCACAAATGATTGATTCAAATTATCAGAAAAACCCGCATTGCTAACAGCCCATTTCTGTGTACTGGTTACATTAAATGTTGCTGGGCCAAGAGCTGAGTCTTCAGCCTCATACAATATGCCATCATTTCCTCTCATTTGTGGTCCTCCACACTTGATTGAGAAGTTTGTATCTGTACAATTCAATGTAATAGCACAAGCTATGATTAGTGAAAAAACTTCAAACTGATGTAATAGCACAAGAGATGCTTACTAGATTTATCAAGACATTCCTGCAATATGTATACATAATGAGATAAGCAATGCCTATTGCTGTAACATGATCTTGCATTAAAGAAATAAATGCTAGTGAAATATAGAAGAAGATTACATCATGAGGTATTTCGATTGCATGGAAAATTCCTCTGGAGGCAATTCAATCCAGGAAGACTGTAAACACAGAGAACAATTATTATTTATAATAATTAAACAGTAGTGGAAGAATCCATTAAACTGCAAAAGTGTAATAGCAATCACTTTATGTTTGAACTATCCGTCTAAAAAAAAAGGTATTTCGATTCAACTCACGTTATGTTTGAACTGTCGAATGTGAAGTTGTTGACCACTAAATTCCTGCATAAAATCATTAATCAATCCACATATGAAGATGAAAACTTCGTGTTCAAGATCTCAACATATCAGTACTTGAAATCCATCCCTTCTAATTTATTGAATTTCATTCATGTGGTATTATATATGCACAATGAAGGTGATTTGGACCATAAATATGAAGGTGAAAGATAAAAAGGAGACATACAGTTGCGATATTGTGGTTACCCATGGGGGAAAGCTTCCTGAGAAATAGTTGTAAGACAAATCTCTGCACATAACAATACAGAATGAGAAGGCACAAAAATGCATGAAAGTTCAAAGGAATTTAAGTAAGAAAAAGGCCGCCAGAATGCGCGCACACACACACAGAGTACTGGTTTCATTGCCAGTACATATAGCATACTTTTATGACATTAGGACTTACGTAGTCTGAAGTTGATTGCTCTTTTGGCTTGGAAGAGGTCCAGACAGACTATTGTTTTGCAAGAAATCTGGCCATATCAATTATAGGAGGCACCCAGAAGAAAAAAAAAAGAAAAACAAAAAAAAGAAGAAGAAGAAACAAAGAAACAAGAAAAAGGTCAGATGAACGACTAAGTTTCTGAGCAGGAAATTCAATGGCATAAGTACAGAAAAGGGGAATAATGAAGGCAAGCCTGATTACAAATATGTAAGAGAACTTATGAAGAACTTGGGAGTCCGCCTGTTAAATTGTTGAAACCCAGATCGCTGCAACATGATAATGTATTCTGTAGAACTCTGTTACACCACCAAAAAAAATTAGTGGACAAGTGAATGGAGTAAGATTTTCAATTTGAAAAGGAAAACGAAGTTTGATCACAGTGCGTGAATGAATGAGTTGTTAACTTACAAATCAGTTAAGTTCTTCAAATTTCTTATGAAATCAAGAGACGAGCTCACATAATATATATCACTGATTCGCCTTCATTATCATGCACAAACATAAATGATGCCCAGTAAATGGAGGGGAGAGAGAGAGAGAGAGAGAGAGAGAGAGAG